TTGCTTCAATTAAGTGTATCTAAAAGGCTTGGTTGTAACAATCACATGTTGGTCGTCGAGATCAACGACACCACCGAATCGTTCCTATCACATCTCAAAATGAGAGTAGTCTTGATGACTGTAGTCGATCTCATATTTACATAAGTATTTATTATTCGCGTGCTCTATGACATTATTATAGCAATAGTTTATGGATAAAAAGATTTTGAAATAGGAGGAGTCAGTGATCATAGTAGTAGTTCATTACAGGATGAGAATAGAATAAAACTGGTTGTGAGCATGACTGAATAAGGATCGATAACTGTATTACTTGGAAATATAGTAAGGGAAATCATTGGCATCATTTATTGAATGAAAAAAGTCAAGTATGTTATGTAGTGCCTCAATTCACGTAGGATTTGTTACTAACACAATTAATACTAGTACAGTATTAATCGTGGTGTATTATTGAAGTAGTCGTACCGCTCAACTTAAATAATAGTTCAACTGATCTTTCTTGTGAATGATCAGTTTCCTTTAATCTGCAGAAATGCTCTGTTATTATTTATGAATTATGTGTATATTAAAGAAAACTCACACAGTAAATATTTTTAGTTAAGAACACTTGGCAGATGGGTAAGATATAGAAATTCCTGAAGCTTATGTCGGGATTGTGTGAGAAACGAAGTGAAACCAAGTAACGTTTACCTTTACAAAGAAAAACACAGATTTTAATCTATGTTTATTCATGATGTGGTCAATTCTCATCTGCTTATTGGTGTGATTATACATGTAGAAGTACCAGTTGATATGACATTCTAATGAGACATGCCTATGAACACCTAATCTCCTGTTTTAGACAGCATTTATATAGAGTCAAGGTGTTTAAAAGAAATTTTAATTTGATAAAATGCTAACTTCACACTCGAAAAAACCACCTTTCATAAACATCGGTATTTGACCCTTCATACACCGTTTTTCTTATGAGAATGATGCGAGTATTATATTCTCTCACACACATCCATACCCACTCGATCTGTGACATCATTTCTTCTATAAATCAAAGTTTCCTATGGACCTTAGCTTACCTGTAAAAGCAAACAAAAGTTTAGTGAGAGCTCAAAATGACTTAGTGTACGACCAATACATGAACGCATATACATGGAGAATTTGAGTTTATTCTAAGATCAATATTTTCTTTTCATTTGTCTGCCTTATATAGTATGGACAGCCACAGGAAGCATGAGTGTCGCACGGCAATACCACACAGCATCCATACTAGCAAATGGAAAAGTGTTAGTTGCTGGTGGTGAAAACGGCAGTAGTTATTTTAATAGTGCTGAATTATATGATCCATCAACGGGTACTTGGACAAACACAGGAAACATGAGTGTCACACGATCTGCTTACAGAGCATCTATATTAGTAAATGGAAAAGTATTAGTTGTCGGCGGTCAGAACAGTGCTGGTATGTTGAATAGCGCTGAATTGTATGATCCATCAACAGGCACTTGGACAACTACTAGAAATATGAATAATGCACGAAATAATTTCCAAACAGCCACATTAGGAAATGGAAAAGTGTTAGTTATTGGTGGATATAATGATGCTTCTACTTTTCTCAATAGTGTTGAATTATACAATTCATCAACAGGTACCTGGACAGCCACAGTAAACATGACTGTCGCACGATGTGCTTTCATAGCATCCATATTAACAAATGGAACAGTATTAGCTGCTGGTGGATACAACGGTAACTTTATCAATAGTGCTGAATTGTATAATCCATCAACAGGTACTTGGACAACTACAGGAATCATGAACGTCGCACGACAGTATCATACAGGAACTATTTTAACAAATGGAAAAGTATTAGTTGCTGGTGGACAGAGCAGCAGTGGTTGTATCAATAGTGCTGAATTGTATAATCCATTAACAGGTATTTGGACAGCTACAGGAAGCATGAATGTCGCACGAGAGTATCACACAGCATCTTTATTAACAAATGGATATGTGTTAGTTACTGGTGGACAGAACAGTGCTGGTCAAGTTAATAGCTCTGAATTGTATAATCCATCAACAGGTAATTGGTCAATCACAGCAAACATGAATGTCACACGATTTTATCACACAGCATCCATATTGGCAAGTGGAAAAGTATTAGTTAGTGGTGGAATAGGTAGCAGTGGTGTTGCCGTCAATAGTGCTGAACTTTATCAATAAATATCGGCAGGACAATAGTTTCTTATGTGAATTGAACTATAAACTTTTCTTTGTAATCAAACTATTTAATCGTGCACGCTTCTAATAAATTATCATAAGCCAAATAATATACGAGTTATATTCATATCACGAAATCAAATCGCATAGTAGTTGCCGAAAAAGAGACAATGATAAAAAATAAATTATTGTTTGTACAATTGAATGCACATTTTTCTTGAAGAAGAGTAGTTATAGATATAGATTTCAAGGATTTGAGTCATTACTTGTCGCCATTCAGTCAGTTGAGAACGCGTTCAATTATAATGATGATTCTTCATATCATATGATAATCATCATCCAGTTAGTATTAGAAATGAATGATTGAATAAGATAATCAAGGGTGGGTGGATGTGGGTATGGGTGCTGGTGAGCAATGAGAAAATAGTTACTCACATCCACACCCACACACACCCTTCTACCCTATTTCACCCATTTCCACTCACCCTAACCCTACTTCACTCACTCTCAAGTTATAAGGACTGCTTGATGTTATAATGGTGAAATCCGATGGGTTTAAACAATTGACCAAACAGAGACCGGACAAACAGCCGAATTTCCGTGCTCCCAATTCATCCTTACAGGATTGTGAATAACTATTTTTTAATGAATATAAAAGATGTAAAATTATCATTACTAAATAATTTTTAACGGTTCATTAATATAATGTATAGTACCGATGTTTTATTCACTACTTTTACAATATCTTCAAGATCTGATTTATTTTGAGAGTATGTGTATAACTATTCTATTCCATCAAAATTCATACTTTCAGAAACTTTTACAGATCTTTGTATTATTGGGTTCATTTGTTCAATGATTTCTTATTCTGTTAACCCCTTGACGATTATCGATGCATATATACGTCAGAGCAAGAATTATGAAAAAGTTGAAAACTACAATTCTTTAAATCTGTCTTCTTTGTATTGTCTGTGTTGGTTTTAATATCTTGCATTGACTGGAGCTCTC